CACTGACTCACAGAAAATAACAAGATGCCACAACCTTGGCCCAAAATTCAGAAGCAGGAGATTCTTCTGCTCCACTCTGATGTGGAAGCCAGCTATTGTCTACTAGCGAGTCCTGCCAAAAACAAGTCTTGACCAGGAATTATCCTCCCAAGCCAACAAACTCATTCAACTTCAGCGAGTCCCAGAAGACTCTTCCTATTTTAACTCAGAATAACAGAGTGGGAAGGGACCTTGGAGGTCTTCTAGTCCAACCCTCTGCTCAGGAAGGAGACCCTATAGCAGTGATGGTGAACCTTTTAGAGACCGAGTGCCCAAACTGCAACCCAAAACCCACTTATGTATCATCAGGTGCCGGGTGGGCATGGCCGATTGGGTGGGCGTGGCCCATTGGGTGGGTGTGGCCCATTGGGTGGATATGGTGGCGGTGCTAACGGCAGACTGGGTGGGACTAAAAAGTTCAATCAATCAATTCCAACTTTACGAGATCTTTTTTTTCCCCGTGAGAAGTTGAAATTGACTGATTGATTGAACCCCCCCCCCTTTTTTTTTTTTTGCACACGGTGGCAAAGGCCCCTAAAGCAAAAAGGTTTTATAAAACCCAGCTGAAGGCCTAGGACTGGGGCGACAGCGCACGTGCCCACAGAGAGGACAAATGGCTGTCCAGTCTCTTCTTAAAAACTTCCAGTGTTGGAGCATTCACCGCTTCTGGAGGCTGGTTGTTCCACTGGTTAATTGTTCTAACTGTCAGGAAGTTTCTCCTTGTTTCCAGGTTGGTTCTCTCCTCCAACCGTTGCTTCTTGTCCTGCCTTTACAGGTGTTTTGGAGAACAGGTTGACCCCCTCTTCTCTGGGGCAGCCCCTCAAATACTGGAAGATTGCTATCATGTTCTTCTTTTCACTAGGCTAACCCAGGGGTAGGCAACCTTGGCTCTTTTATGACTCGTGGACTTCAACTCCCAGAATTCCTGAGCCAGCCATGCTGAGGGGAAAGGGAGAGGTTTCCATGCTGAGCCGTGCTGGCTCAGGAATGCTGGGAGTTGAAGTCCACGAGTCATAAGAGTCAAGGTTGCCTACCCCTGGGCTAGACATACCCAATTCCTGCAACCGTTTTTCGTATGTTTTAGTCTCCAGCCCCCAAATTGTCTTTATTGCTCTTCTCTGCACTCTTGCCTTACAACAGTTCATACAGTGACCGTTTGAAGTAACAACAGCATTGGGAAAAGTGGCCTGTGGGTGTTTTTCACACTTACAAGCAATGCAACATCCCCATGGGTCACGTGATCAAAATTCAGCCGTTTGGCAACTGACTCATATTTATGACGGTTGCAACTGTCCCGGGGTTATGTTCCGTGACCTTCCGACAAGCAAAGTCAATGGGGAAGCCAGATTCGCTTAACAACCCTGTTACCAACTGAACAACTACACTGATTCACTTCACAAACCGTGGCAAGGAAGATTATAAAATGGGGCAAAGTTCACTTAACAACTGTCTCACTTAGCAACAGAAATGTTGGGCTCAATTGTGGTCATAAGTCGAGGACTAACTGTGTAAGAATGAGAGTTAAGCAATCAGCCTTGGGCTGTCTTCATAGCTGAGGAAAGGACAACTCAGGATTAGTTGGCAGAGATAGAATTACCTCAACACTAAAGAATTCAGCAGCTTCCTCACCCAGAGGGCAAATTCCGAGCTTGGTGGGTCCATGTTAAAAGTGAAAATTCCACAGCGGAGGAAATGATAAAGTTACAGTGATAAAGCAAATGCCAACAGCTGTACAGTAGCTTCCTAAGCAAAATGGCATTTCCTTACAATATTTGTAATAAAGGAGCTGGACAGCACAGGGAAAGATATATTTTCCTTAACTCTTGCTTTTTTTTTTTAATAAGCATTCTTTAATCCAGTACTGCGAGTCCCCTGGCCTGCAAGGCGATCCAACTGGTCAGTCCTAGAGGAGATCAACCCTGACCACTCTTTAGAAGGCCAGATCCTGAAGTTGAAGCTCAAATACTTTGGCCATCTAATGAGAAGGAAGGACTCACTGGAGAAGAGCCTAATGCTGGGAAAGATTGAGGGCAATAGAAGAAGGGGACGACAGAGAATGAGATGGCTGGATGGAGTCACTGAAGCAATAGGCGGGAGCTTAAATGGACTCCAGAAGATGGTAGAGGACAGGAAGGCCTGGAGGAATGTTGTCCACGGGGTCGCGATGGGTCGGACACGACTTCACAATTAACAACAACAAATCCAGTACTATATCTTTCTGACTTAAGCAAGAAGGTAAGCAGAAGCATATGCAGACCTCCTTGTAGCTCACATCGAATCTATTTCCATGCAATGTGAAAAGGCAAAAAAGGTCTAACAAGGAAGGGAGATACATGAAAATACTGATTTAAACACAGAATAGACTGCAGCACGCACGCATACACACACACACACACACACACACACACATTAACAAATACTGTAATACAAAACAAAGGATTTGTAACTAAGCACTGGCTGCTAAAATCCACATCTAATCTAACTCCTTTGCTTCAGTGAACATCTGACACAGTTTATCAGTCTGGGCTGATTTCATATTAAGGCCTGCCTCATCAGGATTTTGGGATTGGACATACAATTGGAACTTGAAAACAAGATATGGAAGATTCACACAGAACGGTTGCCCAGTGGGGTGAATAAATTCCATTCCATTCCACTCCACTCCACTCCTTATACTATTCCTTATGCTATTCCTTATACTATTCCTTATACTATTCCTTGTTCTATTCTATTCTATTCTATTCTATTCTATTCTATTCCTTATACTATTCCTTATACTATTCCTTATACTATTCTATTCTATTCTATTCTATTTCTAGTCTAGTCTAGTGTTCTGTTCTACAGTAGTCCTCAACTTACAACCGTTCATTTAGTGACCGTTTGAAGTTAAAGCAGCACTGAAAAAAAAGTGATCACAGTAACAACCGTTGCAGCATCTGCCATCCCCATGATCACGTGATCAAAATTCGGATGCTTGGCAACTGGCTCAAAATTATGACGGTTGCCGTGTCCCAGGGTCACGTGATCACCTTTTGCACCTTCTGACCAGCAAAGTCAATGGGGAGGACAGACTCGCTTAGCAACCGTGTTACTAACTTAACAACTGCGGCAAGAAAGGTGGTAAAATGGGGCAAAACTCACTGAACAACTGTCTTGTTTAGCAATGGAAGCTTTGGGCTCCACTGTGGACCGTAAGTCGAGGACGATTTGTATTCTATTCCTATTCCACTCCAAATATATCAGTCATCAATTCCTATGCTGGTCACTGCAGGGTTAAAAATAAGATTCTGCTTTGGCTACAAGCCGGTGACTGTTGTTACTCACAATCCCCGCTCTGTTTGTTTTATTGCCAAGTTTTTTTCTCCTCCTTACTCATCCATGCACTTGTGTGAATGACTGAGCCTAACATATGCCCAGCTTCCTCTGCGATGATCATAACGCTATAATCAGTCAGGCATTTTGAGAAGAGTAACTATAATGAGAAAGTGGGCTTCCTATCGTTTGTAACAAGACAGGCCCTGTCAGGTTATAAAAACCTGCTGGACAGCAGCAGCAGCAGCGAGAAATAGCTTAACACAAACTGTACCCTCTTGAGCAGCGCCACTCTGAACACACACACTCCACGCACGTATCTGCACAGGCAATCGTGCCCACATATCAGCAGAAGGAAACAAGTAGTCATTACAAGCACGCACACAGCTCAAGCTCCCGAAAGGGGAATTTATACAAGGTGTAGATAAGCAGGTGCAAGGGATCCTTGACTTACGGACACAATTCAGCCCAAAATTTCTGTGGCTAAGTGAGACATTTGTTAAGTGAGTTTTGTCCCGTTTTAGGGCCTTTGTCATAGTTGTTGAGTGAGTCACTGCAATTGTTGTTATGCCAATATGGCTTCCCCACTGACTTTGTCAGATGTCGCAAAAGGGGATCACGTGACTGTTGTTCAATCTGTTTCTGAAAGCCTCCAGTGATGTAACACCCACAATTCCAGGAGGTGTGATGATTGTTAATTGTGAGGACTGGTCATAAGTCACTTTTTCCCCCAGTGCCGTTATAACTCTGAACAATTGCTAAACAAATGGTTGTGAGTCAAGGACTATCTCTACTATGGCACAGATTCCGAGAGACCTTACAATAATATCTTGTATTGTCCATTATCATAGCAGCGAGTTCATTAGTAAACCAATGACTAGTGATCAGAATAACATATGAAGGATAAGCTTTTTTTTCCCCCTTCTTGTCCTTTTAGTTGGTACCGTTAGCTTTTTTTTAAGCGCTTTGTTAAAAAGAAAAGGTATCAAATATAATGTAATACAAAAAGTAGCATCTCCATCCATGAAGAAGGGAGGCTTGTAGAAGGAAAAGAGATCCCGCTTCCTGTCAAGGGCTGCAAGAACTGGTGAATGTCAACCCAATCCAGGAAAAGTGTATTCTGCTAGCTCAAGTCACTGAATAACAGTCCACAGAAAGCACAGCACTACCCGAGACATGATGCTCACACTTTGGGAACTACATGGAGGAGGAGGAGGAGGAGGAGGAGGAGGAGGAGGAGGAGGAGGAGGAGGAGGAGGAGGAGGAGGAGGAGGAGGAGGAGGAGGAGGAGATGGTGGTTCAGAATTACATCAGAGGAGGAAGAGGCCTTCTCCTTCTTATTACTTTCTCCCTTTGCAGAGACTAGAGCAGGAGTAGGCAACCTTGGCTCTTTTATGACTCGTGGACTTCAACTCCCAGAATTCCTGAGGCAGCATGACTCAGCTTGGAAACCTCTCCCTTTCCCCTCAGCATGGCTGGCTCAGGAATTCTGGGAGTTGAAGTCCATGAGTCATAAAAGAGCCAAGGTTGCCTACCCCTGGGTTAGAGCATTGGAAGTATTATATGTAACATCATTCAAGAAAACTTGTTGTGTGGGAAAAAAACAACCACCTCCCACAAACGTCATGAAACTTAAAATGCATACACACCTCAGGAAGACACTCAAGCTGTGCGGAAGAGTGGGGGACACCTCATATTCTGATTATTCGCCTTTTTGCTGCTTTCCAGAATGAAATCTGACCATCACAGAAAAAATCTCCACCCCGTACTCCAATCATGGTGGGAAAATAATCCATCTTCAGTCTTACAAAACAAAATAAAAATCTCTCACCGACGTCAAGAATCAAGGAAATCAAGAAGGGGGGGGGGAGAGAACAAGAACTGCCAGAAAACACGCTGTTCCCCCCCTTTTTCCTGGTCAAGGCATTTTTTTTGTCTGCAGCCAACGTTCTCTGGAATCTCTGTTCAGCTTGCTAAATCCCACGGCCTTGGTTCTCCTTGAAACGAAAGGAACAAGATGCTGAAAATGCCACAGCCACGGAATTTGCCAGAGATGAGATGGAGACCTTGAGGAAGAAGAAACAAATAAATAGAGAATGTTACATCAGGCAGACTGCCGAGGGGGGGGGAGGAAGGAAGGAAGGAAGGACAGGGCTACAAATGGTCCTCAACTTGCAACAGTCCCCAAAGTTACAACGGCACTGAGAAAGGTGACTTATGACCATTTTTCACACTTATGAGCATTGCAGCATCCCCTTGATCACGTGATTTATATTCGGATGTTTGGCAACTGACTCACATTTATAATGGTTGTGGTGTCCCATGGTCGTGGGAATCCCCTTTTGTGACCTTCTGACTCACAAAGTCAGTGGGGAAGCCAGATTCACTTAACAACCGTGTTACTAATTTAACAACTGCAGTCATTCACTTAACAAATGTGGCAAGGGAAGTTGTAAAAATGGGATAAAATTCACTTAACAAATTTCTCACTTAGCAATGTAAAATTTTGCACGCAATTGTGGTCGTACAGTTGAGGATTGACTACCTGTAATTATTTACCATATGGCATATCATACATGGACTTGCAATACATAATAATATTTCGCCTGGAATAAAAAAAAACACACAGTAAAATATGAATGTTAAAAGCTGTTCATTTCTTGGGTGGCAGTATTCACAGGCAGTCCTCGGCTTGTAACAGTTTGTTTGGTGACCATTCAAAGTTACAATGGCACTGAAAAAAGTGACTTATGGCCATTTTTCACACATACTACCATTGTAGCACCCTCATGGTGATGTGATCAAAATTCAGATGCTTGGCAATTGGCTTATACTTATGACCTGTTGCCGTGTCCTAGGGTCGTGTGATCACCTTTGGCGACCTTCTGACAAGTAAAGTCAATGGGGAAACTGGATTCACTTAATAGAATAGAATAACAACTTTATTGTCACTTTGAATGTACACTAATCGGCATACATTAAAATGAAATTTCGTTGCATACAGCTTTCAAAGGCTCACCACCTCCGATATACACAACCAAATCACTTAACTCTTAACAGCTGCAGTGATTCACTTAAAAACTTTGGCAAGAAAAACTGTAAAATGGGGCAAAACTCACTTAACAACTGTCTTGCTTAGCAACAGAAATGTTGGGCTCAATTGTGGTTTTATGTCAGGGGTCTTCAAACCTGGCCCTTTTATGACTTGTGGACTTCAACACCCAGAATTCCTCATCCAGCGTGCCTGGCTGAGGAATTCTGGGAGTTGAAGTCCACAAATCAGAAAAGGGCCAAGTTTGAAGACCCCAGATGTATGTCAAGGACCATCTGTATATTAGCAGCAGAGCAGAGCACATCACGGGCATCCCTGCAAGGATAGAAATATAGGAATTCCAGCTGTGGTTAAATGGGGGGGGGAGGTGATACCTGACTGTATTTTGAAGCCCATTAGCCTAAAGACATTGCTTCCAGCCACAGGTGAGGCAAGGAATGGGCCTTTTGTAACCTTGCAGAACACTAGAGATAAGATAATCCATCAATCCTATGTTATCTGCCTGCCCACACAGTCCCAAAATGTAAAACAGAGACCACAGCCACTAAATTCTCTAATGCAATCCTTCCAAGGTTACATTTTTGAATAGGGTGTGATTAACACTCCCTCCTCCTCTCTAAAACAAAAATCACCTTTGTTCCTTTTATTTTTTCTTACTTGGAAGGAAAGTTTTAGCTGAGGGAAGTTTCCCATTCTTCAAAAGATGCAGAAAACAAGTTTTTCAGCACCAATTCACTTCCTCATCTAGCTGCTGCATATGGAACATCCGGTCAGGTGTGTCTTTAAAATTTCATGCACTTCCTCAATTCTAAATAACCAACCTTTGGAAAACACCGCGCTACTGTTCCTATGTGTTTTATGTAATCTATTTTATCCAAATGCCTACGTAGGTGACTGTGCTATTCGAGTAATTGGAAAATGATTGCAGGGCTTATACATGAATAGCTATACATTTTTTTTAAATCTGCTGTTAGTACAGAAATCTACTGAGCCCTGCCTGCGTATCGAGTTTCCCTAAATGGTTCACTAACTCTCCAAGAGGCATTTGCTGACTTGAGCTCAAATTAAAATAAATAAAACGGTTGATATGCTTTGAGCAGGGCAAATATACAGAAACATGTTCCACTTTGTTCCCCAAATTCCAATACCAAAAGAAATGCAAAATATCAGATACAATGGAATGAGAGGCAATGGAAAATAGCAGATGGAGACTTATCAAAAAAGAGATACAGCCTAGAACTAAGAAACGTCCTGACAGTGAGAACAATTAATCAGTGGAACGGCTTGCCTCCAGAAGTTCTGAGTGCTCCAACGTTGAAGGTTTTCAAGAAGAGATTGAACAGTCATTTTTCCAGAATGATATATAGGGCAGGGGTCTTCAAACCTGGCCCTTTTATAACTTGTGGACTTCAGCTCCCAGAATTCCTCAGCCAGGCATGCCTGGCTGAGGAATTCTGGGAGCTGAAGTCCACAAGTCATAAAAGGGCCAAGTTTGAAGACCCCTGGTACAGGATCTCCTGCTTGAGCAGGGGGTTGGACTAGAAGACCTTCAAGGTCCCTTCCAACTCTGTTTATTTTGTATCTCTCTATCCTTCGTTGCAACCCAAAATGATTGCCCACATAAGGGGTACAAATAAGTACCAAGGGTATATTGAGAAATCTGGAAATGAACTGAGCTCAAGTTAATATCAGAATGTCTCCCATTCTGTTGACATATTTTCTGGTTCCATTTTAGGCTGACTCAGAGAAATAAATCTTTTCCTCTGTAGGCTACATATACCCAACCCCTTTAACTCCTGTTTTTCCTTCCCCTTATTAGCTTGGTTGCTTTTCTTTGGGCACACTTCAGTTGTTTTTTTTTTTTTTTTTTTTTGTCCTTCGTTAACTAGGTGGCTCAGAACCAGATAGGGTATTATAAGCATGGTCTGACCAACACAGATGACTTTCCTGAACCCTAGTATTAGGCTTCTGTTGAGGCATCTTAGAGTTGCATTTTCTTTTGTTCTCTTTTTCCGCCAACCAATATGATGGCTCTGAAATGTCAAGGTACACATCTGGCTGCCTTTTACCATACGGGTAGGTCGTGGTGCCTCAACTGGGTAACAATCCAGTTACAACCAAGACTGACGCAATGCCAACCGAAAGTCAAGCTGGCAATTTAACACAGCCTTGGGCTGCAGACTTAAACAAGTAGTTGAAAGGAGATCTACAGGTCTCTTCCTTCCAAAGCGGAAGCCAGTGTAGATGGCCTTTTAACTTTTCCTTGGAAAATACTTTCCTTCCAAACTGTGAGTCTTTGCAGTAAATCATAATTTCATCAAAACATCAGGTGAATTGATCATATGATGCAGGCACACTCAATCCAAGAATGTCCTCTTTCACGACCCAGGAAACCCACCTTCTCTGACTAATAATAATAATAATAATAATAATAATAATAATAATAATGATGATGATGATGATGATGATGATGATGATGTTGGGAGGGACCTTGGAGGTCATCTAGTCCAATCCCCTGCTCAGGCAGGAAACCCTATACCATTTCAGACCAATGGCTGTCCAGTCTCTTCTTAAAAACTTCCAGTGCTGGAGCATTCACCGCTTCTGGAGGCAGGTTGTTCCACTGGTTAATTGTTCTCACTGTCAGGAAGTTTCTCCTTAGTTCTAGGTTGCTTCTCTCGATTAGTTTCCATCCGTTGCTTCTTGTCCTGCCTTCAGGCCCTTTGGAGAATAGCTTGATTCCCTCTTCTTTGGGCAGCCCCTGAGATATTGGAACACTGCTATCATGTCCCCCCTCATCCTTCTCTTCATTAAACTAGACATACCCAATTCCAGCAGCCTTTCCTTGTATGTTAGTCTCCAATCCCCTAACCATCTTTGTTGCTCTTCTCTGTACTCTTGCTAGAGTCTCAACATCTTGAGATCTGCCCTTTGCAAGGAGACGTACCCACACCCCAAAGAGAACTATGTGCTCTACTCTGATGTCATTCTGGAAGGCCTTGAAAACCTGGGCTAATCTCTCAGGCTTTGGGATAGGGTGGGCAGGATCCTTTATTAAATGTTTTTTTTTTCCCAATTAGATTGCATTGTCCGGATAGCTACCATTTTTACATCTTTGTAGTGTGTGTTGTATTTTGTAGATTGCTGTTTGTTTTATATGTTGAGCCTCCCAGAGTCACTTGGAATGAGGAGTGCCTGAATTTTAGGGAAAATAATAAAAAACAAACCGCTTGTGGGTTTTGCATCAAGAAGTCATAAGTCATGTTTTGCTACTTGTGCTCTATTGCAGGGCACATATTCCAAAGCCTAGTTCCCCTGTAGGAAAGAGGAAAGGGAGAGAGGGGGGGGAGGGAGGGGAGACGAGAGAGAGAGAGAGAGAGAGAGAGAGAGAGAGAGAGAGAGAGAGAGAGAGAGAGAGAGAGAGAGGGAGGGAGGGAGGGAGGGAGGGAGGGAGGGAGGGAGGGAGAAATGGAGAGGGTGAAAAGGGGAGATCATATATTGGTTTACTATATTTTTAGGATGACATTCTCCACAAAGCCTAATTTTCTCCTGCAAGATCCTCAACCATCCTTTTGGCTTTTCATCAGAAATGCAAAGAAGAATGACTGTCCCGAACTATAGAGCTTGTAGAAGTAGCCTCATAAAAGGAGACCAAGGCATTCAGTTTTTTGCTTGATTCTTCTCCTTTTCTTCAGTATTAAGCTGTCACAAACACAAACAAAAGCTCAAAAGATTTGCTATCTCTTGTTTGTTTCACCAGAACTCTTGATCTGGAGTTCTGCCTCCTTACATCCCTAGCTCACAAAACTGTTAAATGTATCCCTGCTAAGACTTTTTGTCTGGTAAGATCTGGGCTACATTACATTCTCATGTTTTTTGTAGTTTCATCTTGCTGGTTTGTTTGTTTTTTAATAAAGATGCTCCCACTTGAGACTTTTTGCTGCATAAAAAAGAAAGAAATACTAAACGAACAAATGGCTTTATGTCCGCTTGGAGAATAATACAGATAGTCCT